ACTCGCTACACATCCTTTCCTCTCGATGCAACTTGTTATTATATCTGCCATTGCAACAGGTAAACCATGGGGCTCTTAAATCGGCTATTGTGATAGTGTTTATTGAAAAACACGCAACTACATGAAAATTTTGGTACATTCTCAAGTCGTGTCAGAACAGTGTAGTTGAGGAAAGCAAACGTATATTTCAACAACACTGTTTGGGAAAATTGTAATGGTGAACTACGTCATCATCAACTACACGTGTTGTACACTTCTAAGTGAGTATTTCTATAATGAAGTTCTGGAAACTCCTCAGTTGAGGAAGAAAGCAAACGTAAATGTCATTAATGTTTGATACACTGTTGGAAACCTCACGTATTATTATGAATCCTAGTTTAGTGTTGGAGGAATACATGTTCGCATTCCTCAGCTGAGCTCAGGAGTGACTCGGGTAGAAGTGTACAGAAATCAATGATAATTTTCGCTCATATTTTTCATATCGTCAACACCAACACATGACCATGTGCATATTTCCACTTCACTATTGTAGTTATTCGTCTCAGGAATTTTGACGGTATTTTTTCCTTTGATAGCAGTAGCAGCGTCATCTGCTTGCGCTTCTGGTGAGTTGATGATGAGAATTCAAACATGATGATGATAATAACAGTTTCAGGTTTGTTAACATACGTGGTTTGGACATCACTTTCTCAGAAATACATGTATTTCCATTTTGGTGTTGGTTTAGTTGCATTTTTCACTACTGTTGTTACATTGGCCATTCCTAAGCTGTTTAATAACTGGCAGATGGTAAACTGAGTTATCAACAAACGTTATGATGATGATGTTGTTGTTTTTGTTATAGTTGTATTCGCCAATTATAGGAGGATATTTGATAGCAGCAGCGACGGGGCGCCGGCAAGGGTGGATTTGGACTGTCTCAGCAACGGTCAGTTGGGTGTTACATTTGAGGAAAAAATGGCTACTGAGATTGGAAGAGGAAGAATGGGTTAATAACGTGAGTTACTCTACTATGACCCTCTCGTGCTGTTCTTCAGGGCTCCTGCAGGCTGAGTCTTGGTATGTATTGCTAGATAAGATGTTGTCTATTACTGTGCATTATTATTATTACATCGTTCTCCGTACAACTCTGACAAAGTTGATGCTGCTACGATCGACTTCGGTTTAGATTCAAAATGTGAATCCATGTTTGTCACTATTCTACTATTCATTAGCAATGATGGCTCAAGTGGGCACATGCTGTCACTTCTGCGCTTTGCGATGCGATCGTCAGTCGAAAACAATTTTTCGTAAATTGAGTTCGCATTTTGCAGGAGGGATTGTGTAATCTGCGGCTCTTAGGCAAACATAAAAGTATTCGAAAAATACCCTTGCTAGGGATCGAACCCGCGTTAAAAAATAGAACGCCAGTGTGCTGATATAATACTGATTCGAATCTCGAGATCTTGTTAAGAGTTCAATCAGATTGAGGACAATGGGCGATACTGGATACAAGCAACTGGTGATACTGTTAAGATGAGGGGTGTTGACGAACAGACTCATTGCAAAGGTGAGATCTTATTCGTTGTGGAACTCCTCCAATGGGGCTCTTTAGGATCTACGAGAGGAGACCTACGGACCCCTCTATTACACGAAAAAGGTGGTTGATGTATTAGTGTTTTTAGTTTGATTGTTGTAACGAACTGTTATTATTCATATATTACTAATGCTACATAAGATTCAATTGTGTTTAGTTTAGTTGAGTTCTTTTATCGTATTGTGTTATGCTAGTCGGAATCTGGCTTAGAATTCAAAGGCCGGGGTTGCCTCGGTGGCGACAGATGGTGTCACATAGGTATGTGGAGTTCAATAGATATGTATCTCGAGACTAGTTCAACGTTACTGTGGCAATGGGGACAGATTTTTGTGTCACCGATCTCGAAGGAGACAGCGAAGTGTGCGGTTCCGACAGGACTAGCTTTTGGGCATTCTCACTGAGACTTTATCGTAGAGATTTAACACTTTGAAATGAGTCCAGTAATAATCGTAACTGGTGCCAACAAGGGCATCGGATACGAAATATCTAAAAAGCTTATCGCTGATGGTGCCAAGGTCATCATGACTGCCAGAGATCAAGCCAGACTTGATGAAGCTGCTAGTAAGAAACTGCCGTCGCATCCACTCCTGTTAATTGTTAAAATGCTTAGATAAGTTGAAGCCGTTCGGCGCTGTTAAGCTCGATGTGACTGACGATGCATCAGTAGAAGAAGCGAAGCGAGAGGTGGATCTGCAACTGGTTCGACTGCGACATATTGTGTGCTACAGATATCACGTTTGGCGCCTGCTATTGACGGTCTAGTTAACAACGCCGGCATCGCCTATAGCGGTGACATTTTCGGATACGAAGAGGTAAATTCAGGATATCATCATAAGTAGGTTATTGATTGCATGATCAGGCAAAGTTGACTATGGCAATCAACTACTACGGCGCTAAGCGTGTGACCAAGGCTTTCTACCCCCTCCTCGGTGAACACGGTCGTATCGTTAACGTCTGCAGCTTCATGGGTAGGTTGTGTCAGGTGAGTGTATGACAATCGGTCGAGGTCTCGGATTGGTCTACCGTCGTTAGGTTTCTGACTCCCTACAGAAGAGGTTTGCAGATCCCAACGCCACCGAAGAGTCGATCGACGCCCTCGTGGAAGAGTTCATCACCGGGGTCAAGGAGGGCGATTACAAGGAGCGGGGCTTCAGTAACAGTATGTATGGTATGTCCAAGTTGGCTCTCATCGCTTATACTAAAATATTGGCCAAAAAGGCCATGGCCGATTCTCGCAAGATAGTCGTCACCGGCTGCTGTCCAGGCTGGTGCCAAACAGATATGAGCGGGTGAGTTGCGTCCCCTGTCAAGAAGTCTCCCGAAATCAATTGATGGCTCTGGTCGACATGTTATTTGTTTTCAGTCACAGCGGCCCCCGCACTGCCGAGACCGGTGCCCAAGTGATGGCTTGGCTAGCCGGTGAGGTCGAGTATGATCCCGAGATGAGCGGCAAGCTGTATCGTGATGAGAAGGAGTTCGAATGGCAGACCGGCAATCTCCTTTCTACGGGGAAGATGTATTGATTTTCTCGCTAGTTATTTGAGTTGCTAAATAATCTGGTTTCCTTTCAAGCAGTTATGATCATCGACCAGTGTTACTATTATCTGATGAATGAACCAACGCCAATCGCCGTACTATCATTGAATGAATAAGCCAACGTGAAACCCGTCCTTGTTCACAACATGAGGTCAAATGAAATGCAAGTGAAGTAGCTGTCAATCCTCCAATATATACCGTGGATCGAATATAAGATGAGAGTCCAACCGTTGACTGAGCATTTCTAGAGTACTTGAGGCACTCTCGCTTCTTCATGTGGAACTAATAACCCGATTCTGATTCGGGATGTTCTGAGTTGTACCAATGCGTTGTGTTCAGTTTGCCGTGATTTGTTAGTACTTCCAGGGACGAATAGCATGTCGTGCGTTACCGAATTTAAATCATGTCAGATAGCATTACCAATACAAAGGATCGTTCCGACTAAGAGGAGATCGTTCTTACTCGAAAACTCGAACTCCATGACTTCCTGTATAGCCCATTGACTTGAACGCGGACTAGAGCAATACGGTTGAGGATTTGAGATATGATCTCGAGAAAACGGCCACACCTAACCTGTAGTTGTCTCTTATAACGCTGAGTGGGAAAAATTAATCGAATAAGATTGGATAGCCCCGATAAATCAGACTAAACGAACTCATGAGACGCACATGAGCGATCTACTACACTACTCGGGAATAGCGAGGCCACCTTTTGGACATCTGCCAGAAGATGCTTCGATATGAGTACCATTCACAGACAATGTGAACGCATCTAGCTTGTCGTTGAAGGGAATCCTTTCCCATTCGGTCGGATTGAAATGCATAAAGTCAGCGAAGTAAGTGAAGTTTGTATTAGTGGTATCCATGAATAGTGTGGTACTTTGTTCATCAACTGTCCAAGGAATGGTACCAGTCACGTTAACGCCCACCTTCCTGCCCTGTATGTAGAAGTAGAGTATCTGGAGCACGTCTGGAGCCCATGTGTGGAAAA